TGCAGGGCGCTTGGCCTGGGAGGGAGCTGGGCAGGACGGGCAGCTTGGGCTTCTGCTGCAGGGAGACGGGGGCAGGAGGAAAGTTGAGGAGGGGGTTCCAGGAAAGGGCTGGGGGACCGCAGGCGACGCGGCAGGGATTCCAGCCCTGGCTTCTCCCCATGGGCTCCCAAGCCCCGGGGCTGAGACTGGACTCCTGCAGACGGTCTCTCGTGCAGCCACCTGCAAGGGAGGATCTGGAAGCCAGGAGACCACCTGGCGTTTCATGTGCGTTGTGAAATGTACCCTGGCCTGAGCATTTGGAGTTGGCATTCCTGACAGAGTGACAGCCCCGCACCCCTCCGCGCCCGCCCCGCTTGCCTCTAGGCAGGGAAGGCTCTGGCAGCCTTCCTGCCGCCCAGGGAAGCCAGCAAACGGAATGGCTGTGTAGTAAGCTCAGAGGCTAGTGACAGTGCAGTGAGACAATACAAAGAACTGCTACTCCCAGAGTAGACTGGCAGGCACGCTGCAAAATGCCATCTTAGCAGTTGCTCTCCGGATGCTCAAAACCCCACGCGATAGGTATAGTTCTTCACTGACAGAGGAAGGAAGGAACAGAGACGTCCAGATTTAAGGGCCTTGTCTCAAGGCACCCAGTAACCCTAGGATCCAAAACAGTCCAAAATAACAGTCTTTAAAATATCACACGGGACACACGTGGGGGATCTTGGTAATTCTGATGTTGTGAGTGTGGCCTGGGCCTCAGGACCTGCATTTCCAACCAGCTTACAGATGATACTTGATGCTGCTCACCGAAGGACCAAACTTGTTAAATCACTAGACTGGGGCTTTGAAATAAATTTCTTCTTACATACCAGTGTCATCGGTGAATAGTGACTTCCTAAAGGCGAGTTAAGGATTCTGAGGCCGTGTCTTAGCTCATGGTCAAAGAACACGAAAATGTATTAGCTGTTGAGGAAAGAACGTTGTGACATGGGTGCTGGGTGGCCGCCCTGTTTGTTAGATTTTGGCTCAATTTAGCCTTTCTTTCTTTCTTCCTCTCTCTCTCTTTCTTTCTTCCAGTTCAGTTCTCTGCTTTATCAAAAAACAAACAAACAAAAACAACCTGAAAATGTTACACCTGCTATGTGTAAGGCACAAAACACTTTAGAAAGTGCTCACGTGAGTCATTTCAATTTGTCTTCATAACAGCACTGTGGGCAAGTGTGATCTCCTCTTGACGGGACAAGAAACTGAGGTCAAGTGTTTTTCCTAAAATTGAAAAGTTAGGATGCAGGTGGTAGGTTTAGATTGTGCTGGATCTCTAATTCAAGACTGGTGTGTGTGTGTGTTATTTTGTTTTTATTCCACTGTATTTGTCTTCTATTGCTGCTGTAAAAAAATGGTCACAAACACAGTAGCTTAATATAATACAATTTTATTATCTTACATTCCTCGAGGTTAGATGTCTGAAGGTGGGATGTGTGGGGCTACAATCATAGGATCTATGCATCTGGTTTTCAGCGGCTGCTTCCTCCAAAGTCGGCAGCTGATTCTTCCTCATGTTTCTGTGCTTAGTCTGGAAGCTCTGCAGAAAGCTGTTCACTTTGGGTGGCCTTACTGGCATTTGAAATACCAGTGGCCTGGCCTCCAACATCACAGCAACACACATGGAGGTAAAGAAGGGGGTGGTGAATGAGAGCAGGATCTTCAATGAGATGGATTGACACAGTGCTTACAACAATAGGCTCAAGCATATGAACAATTGTGAGAATGGCTCATGACCGGGCTGTGTTTTATTCTGTTGTGCATAGAGGGTTGCTATGGGTTGGAACTGACTAGATGACACCTAACAATAGCACTGGCAAGTGGCATGTTCCTTCTGGAGGCTCTAAGGGAAGCCTCTGTTCCATGCTGTACTTTTGGTCTTGTATCTGCAGCTCTGCAACCTCTATTTCCATCGTCTCAACTCCCCCTTCTCTGAGTCTGTTCTCACTTCCTCTTTATAAGGACCCTTATGATCACATCGAACCCACTCAGGTAGTCCAGGATTATCTGCTCAGCTCACACTTACTCACAGGCACGGGTTGTAGGAACTAGGATGCGGACATCTTTCGAGGGCATTGTTCTACCTACCACCACCACGTGTGTTGTGCTCAGCCTGTGGCTCGACTGGACGACACTCACCCTTCTCTTCTATTGGATTTCTCAGTCTGCTGAGAAGTTCTCTCAACCAAGAAAGTATTCAAGAGACAGAAATAGCAAATGTGCCCTTGCAACTAACACCCCAAGGCTCAAGGGTACCTAGGATTATGAGCTGCTTATTGCTGTGGTCAACACTGAGAAAATCTTTAATGGCCCTTTTGGGCAATGCAGAATTTTTCAGAATTTCACAATTCAAAAAGCTATACTGTTCCATAATAAATAAGTCAATTAGAAACTTATATAAAGTTGAGTCCAGTCTTAATATCCAAACACATTGAGAGTTTTCAGAAATGTTTATAAGCATTAAACCAGTATGTCACACTAAATCAATAAATGTAGTTTATTGAACATGTTTCATGCTCAGGTTATTTATAAAAGGCTCTGACATATAGAAGTTTATCATTTCATTGAGAAACATAGAATGTATGAAAAGTGGGGGGGAAAGATTAAACAGAGGAAGCAATGGAAGCATTGTGAGAAGGTGCAGGATCAATCATCAAGTGAATTAGACAAAAGTGAAAATTTTATTTGAAACTTTGGCTTATTGAGGGGAATGCAGACAAAACTGGAAAGGTAGTTTGGAAGCTTGTCTTGTCAATGATAATAAATGTCAAGCTAATGAGTTTAGACTTAATCCTCAATAGTAACAACGATAGGACCTTATTTTTATGTATCAGGAAAAACTTGCCAAGCACAGTTGGCTTGCATTCCTTGCAAAGAGTATGAACAAACTCCACTTGTCTATCTCACAAACACCACACCCTACCACATCACACCACACAGAAAAGGAAATATGGGCATTTATCAGAGATTTTCTTGACCACTGTATAAAAAATTCCTTTGCCCATTCACCTGTCATACTTTCTGTTTGCCTTACACTCCTTTATGTTTCTCTATGGGACTTACTGTACTTACTCTATTTACAGTTTTACTGTACTGCATATACTATGTACTTGATTCAGTACATATTTATTTATTACATCTCTGCCTTCTGTGTGGGCAAGGACTTGGGTTCTTTTGCTCATTGATATAGCCCTATCAGTGTAAACCGTCCAAATTTTATTAAGTGTTCAGTAAATATTTGCCAAGTGAATCCTTATCTCCATTCTACAAATCAGAGATCAAGATGTAAGGTGTTTGAGTGACCTTCACAATGTCCTCAAATTTAACAAGCTGTTAACTGGATTTACTAATTCTAAAGTCTAATATTCAACCCAGTGCTTTTTTGATACTATTTTTCCTTTCTGAACGAATGCTATTAAGGGCAATGTAACCGAGAGGAATTACTGAAAGCGAAATGAAGGCTGAGCATGATAGTGGGACAAGAGGAAAGTCAAAGGAAATAGAGGAAAGAACTAGGAGTCAAAGGGCATTTAAAGAGGTCTAGATACAGGCATGCATATATGCAAATATATATATGATGTTGGGGAAATAGATCTATGTGCATATATTTATAGGTTTAGTATAAAGGTAGCAGATGGACATTGGGCCTCCACTCAAGTACTCCTTCAATGCAAGAACATTTTGTTCTGTTGAATTGGAATTCCATGATACTCACCTTCCCAACACGATTGCTGAAGACAAAGTGTGTGTGTAAGCAAACGTGGTGAAGAAAGCTGATGGTGCCCAGCTATCAAAAGATATAGCATCTGGGTTCTTAAAGGCTTGAAGGTAAACAAGTGGCCATCTAGCTGAGAAGCAACAAAGCCTACATGGGAGAAGCACACCAGCCTGTGCGATTATGAGATGTCTTAGGGATCAGGTATCAGCCATCAAAGAACAAAAAAGCATATCGTTGTGAATAAGGAGGGGTGCAGATTGGGGACCCAAAGCCCATCTGTAGGCCACTGGACATCCCCTTACAGAGTGGTCTCCGGGAGGAGATGAGACAGGGAGCAGTGTAGCACCAATGAAACATACAACTTTCCTCTAGTTCTTTCTAGTTCTTAAATGCTCCCCTCCCACCCCACTATTATGATCCCATTTCTACCTTACAAACCTGGTTAGACCAGAGGATGTACACTGGTACAGATAGGAATTGGAAGCACAGGGAATCCAGGACAGATGATCCCTTCAGGACCAAGGTGAGAATGGCGATATCAGGAGGGTGGAGGGAAGGTGGGTAGAACGGGGAACCGATTACAAGGATCTACATATAACCTCCTACC